TGCGCAATTAATAAGTACTGTAAACCATATTACTGTAAAAGGCCGGTCTTTATAAATTATATAGTTCTAAAAGAAATTTCTATTTGACCTCTTTGTCACAAAAACATACTTCTTTGTATAGTGATTGTTATGTAAATGCAGTTGTCATCGTAATCTACAATTATTGATCTGTCTAAGTGTTATTTTTTCAATAAATGTAAATATCTTGTTTGGTAAACAAAGGATGTAATTGAATCTGTAAGTTAAGACAAGTATGCGAAAACTACAGTTTTCCATTAGCTCAAGCCTAAATTATATTGTATGTAATGTAGCTTGTTATATTTCTTTATTTTGTCACGTAAAAACATTTAAATTATGTATGATGTATAAATATAAAAAAATTTAACAACAAATCCATTTAAAAGTAAAGTTTAGACATTGTTACGGTCGACATTGGTACATTATCATTGGCGAAAATGCACATGCACATTAACATTAATGCGGCTATGTGTTTAAGTTGAGACACGTTTGTAGAAAACACTAAAAAGGCAATCTTCTAAACAATTTTAAAATATTTACAACTTTAATTATATAGAAATGTTCATAACACAGTAAGTAATTCCATTAGTTGCATAAGCTTTTACGTGAGTCTTTTTAATTAATTGAAAATTAAGTCTGTAATAACTCTTAAAATAGCTCCTGTAATACCGGTACTTGATAATTGCTTGATTTCTAGCAACGAGTACACAAGTTAAAAATTCAACAATGCATTAACATAACAAGCTCTCTTTCACGCTGCAAGACTAGTAAACGGCAAAAGTAAGGCAGAACGGCAGAACTGCGGTATTGGTTTACCATACACGCCTGCAACGATGTGCTGCAAACCGCGCGACGAGTAGCTAAATGAACCGTAGAGTAAGTGAGCCTTCTAATATTTGTAGAGGGTTCACTTACTCTACAGATCATTGTGCCAATGAACTGTAGAGTAAGTGAGCCGTCTTCTATTTGTGTAATAGTTATCATGAAATAGGCTCGTATAGTATACGAGCCTACTCCTGTAATTTATTTAAATTCAGTATTTTGGCTCGTATACTATACGAGCTTATTCCTGAATTATTCAAGAATTCATACGCTTGGCTCATAGGCACAATGATCTGTAGAGTAAGTGAACCCTCTTCATTTATTTGATATTTTTGATCGGCTCGTATAGTATACGAGCCTGTAGTGCAAGTGAACCTTCAATATTATTTACGAAGCTCGTATAGACTATGATTTGTAGAGTAAGTGAGCCATGTGTTTTAAGAATTACATATTTGGAGGCTCATTGTGTCAATGATTCGTAGAGTAAGTGAACCCTAACCCACTTCACTTCACCAACAAACTAGCACTAGCGGCACAATTTGTTTTTCAGGATTAATTTTGCCAACAGTGTCATTTAGAGGCTTCTGATTGATGTTAAGGTTTACTAATTGAAAAATTAGTTTTGTTCATAGAATAAAATTATTATAAATGCTTCAAATTCAATTTTATATTTTTTTATTATGAAATTAAATGCTCATAACCTAACCAAACCAACCAAACGTGCTGACAATGAAAAAATCTAATGAAGGTTTATAAATCGAAAAAATAGTTGTGTTCATAAAATAAAATTATAAATGCCTCAAATCCTATTTTATAATTTTTTAATTATAAAATTAAACTATCATAACCTAACCAAACTAACCAGACTTGCTGATAATGAAAAATCGAATGAAGGTTTTTTTCGGGAAAATGTTTCTGTTCATAAAATAAAACTATAAATGGGTCAAATTCGATTTTATAATGTTTTAATTATAAAATTAAACCATCATAACCTAACCAAACCAACCAAACGTGTTGATAATGAAAAAAATCAAATACAAAAAATTAAGTTCTTCGGGTGGGATTCGAACCCGGGTCCTTCAGATTATCAGTCCAGCACGCTATCCACTACATACCGAGGTCGTTGTAATCACTCCGTATCGTTGCGGTAATTATGTTCCCTCAGCCAATCAGAAGCCTAAAAATACTGTAGGCAACACTAAACCTGAAATAAAAATTCAGCGCACTAGCGTCTCATTTTCCGCTTGTTCCAGAAACTGACGGGAACCTTTTCTGCGAAAGAGTGGGGGATTGTGGGAGAGCCCCACACGTAATTTAAGAAAATCTTTAAATTTATTTTATAATATTTTAGTTAGAAAATTAACTTTTTAACTATTAAATTAATTTTAAAATTTTTAATTATAAAATTAAACTGTCATAACCTAACCTAACCAACCAAACTTGCTGATAATATAAAATACCCCCGCCGCAGCAAACCTGCAGACTAAGCGAATTTCCATTTGTCTGATTGGATTTACACTAAAATGTCTCCTTAAAAATGTCACATTAATTCCCTATTTAAATAACATTAGTTTAACGAGTACTTAGGTTTGCTGTAACAGGGAGGGTAAAAAGGTGTGTGTGTGTTTTTCTTTGTAAAATTTTAATAGTTAAGTATGAAATTAATGCATTTTCCAAATCTGATCAAAATATGTTCATAAACAAGCAAACTACAACTTAACAGTTTACTTATTCTCCATAAGAATAACATGGGAATTTTAAATTAACCGATTTTTTGGAATTTTCTCTGTAACCAGGCGCATAACAACACTTCAATATACTAAATTATTTGTTTTTTTTAAGCTCTACAAAATGTTTTGAAAAGAAATTGTTAAATTTTAAGTTTTTAGGCTCAAAAATAGGAAAAACCAATTTTTACCCCATAAACCCCTGTTCATATAGTCCGATCATGCTGGTTCGCGAACTCGTTCGAATAAACGTAGGTTTACACGTTTGTACTAAATTTCATCAAAATCGGATGATATATATATATATATGAATCTGAACGGATGGTGTTTTTGGCCTCTAGGGACCTCAAAACGAAAAATTAAATCGGCCCTGGGTCCAGGTCTTACCATGAGTACTACGGTAATAGCTTATTCCCTATATGGGAAAAACGCTAAAAGATATAAAATAGCCTAAAAACCGAATGAAGGTTTACTTATAACTAATTTTTAATTATAAAATTAATTTTAAAATTTGTTATTATAAAATTAAACTGCCATAACCTAACCGAACCAACTAAACTTGCTGATAATATAAAAAATATATAAGTTAATGAAAAATCTAATGAAGGTTTACTAATTTAAAAAAATAGTTCTGTTCATAAATAAAATTATAAATGCCTCAAATTCTAACAAAAGATTCGCAATCTAAGCAAAGCCTTGGACAATAAGTTAGTGTCTCGGGCGGGATTCAAACTCCGGGCGGAGACCTCCAGATCACGAGTCCGAGACGCTATCAACTACGTCACGAACACCGATGGAATCATATCGTCTTGTTACGGTAATGGTGTTCCATAAAGAGCAGAGTGACGTCACGCCCCCCACTCCTTCTCTAAAGAGGTTCTCATCAGTTCCTGACAGGGGAGGGGAAACCGAGACGCCTTAAACAAACGCCACCGCCGCTCGCCGCTACCGCGCCGGCGCCGTTCTTTCTTGGTTCTGTTCTAGTCTAGTCCTTCAAGTTAGTGACGTGAGGCTGGATCGCCCATTCCAGCACACTTTTTTTAAATGAATACAAAAAAGTGTGCTATTCATAACGGCTATTAAAAAAAAGGTGTGCTCTTCTAATAATTGTGATATAATTAATTAATAACTTCTTGATTAGCATCGTACGTGTTATTAAATTACCTGAAACATACAGAAAATATATACGTCTAATAACACTTGCAATAATATATTTACACTTATACTGTTGACTTATTCACGAATTCGCCTATGGGTCTGATGATGATTGGAGTGTCCAATCGAAATCGATCACCACTTACCAACTTTAACATGTATTTACCGTTTTGTAAGTCAACAGTATAAGTGTAAATATATTATTGCAAGTGTTATTAGTCGTAGGCCTATATATTTTCTGTATTTTTCAGATATAATTAATTGTATTTGGGCGGGCCAGAATCACGGCTGGCCCGCCCATTTCAGCTACAGATCTATAAACCATTCCAAAAAACTGTGCTGAAAGTGTGCTCACAGGAATCATAAATAAAAAAAAGTGTGCCGCCCCCGTTACTAAACAAATAACCCTCGAGTTGTGAGGGTAATAAGATTACCCAGCCCGCCCATTTTATCTACAGATCTATAAACCATGCCAAAAAACTGTGCTGAAAGTGTGCTCGCAGTAATCATTAATAAAAAAATTGTGCCAACCCCGTTACTAAACAAATAACCCCTAACTGGTAAGGGTAATAAAATTACCCAGCCCGCCCATTTCAGCTACAGATCTATAAACCATGCTAAAAAGCTGTGCTGAAAGTGTGCTCACAGGAATCATTAATAAAAAAAAGTGTGCCTCCCAAGTTACTAAACAAATAACCCCTAAGTGGTAAGGGTAATAAAATTACCCAGCCCGCCCATTTCAGCTACAGATCTACAAACCATGCCAAAAAAACTGTGCTGAAAGTGTGCTCACAGGAATCATTAATAAAAAAAGTGTGCTGCCTCCGTTACTAAACAAATAACCCCTTACTGGTAAGGGTAATAAAATTACCCAGCCCTAACGGGGGCGGCACACTTTTTTTTATTAATGATTCCTGTGAACACACTTTCAGCACAGTTTTTTGGTATGTTTTATAGATCTGTAGCTGAAATGAATCATGAATCAGAATCACGGCTGGCCCGCCCAAATACAATTGATTATATCACAATTATTAGAAGAACACACTTTTTTTATAGCCGTTATGAAGAGCACACTTTTTTGTATACATTTAAAAAAAAGTGTGCTGGAATGGGCGGGCCAGCTTCCCTCTCCCTCTGTACTGTCTGCGTTCGTTGTAGTGTTCAGTTCAGTCAGTCGTTCAGTTTCAGTGTTGAGTGTTGTTGGTGTTGTTGAGTGTTGAGTGTTCGTGTTCAGTTCAGTGTTAGTTAGTGTTAGTGTTGTGACTTGACTAGTGACTAGTGAGTGACAGTGACGTCAGTGTGACCTGTGTGACTGTGAGTGAGTGTTCCAGTGACACTAATGACATTATTCCATTATCGTACTGACTTATTGTGTAACAATTAGGCCTACAAAAAAAAAAATTTTGTTGTGGTAACTTAGGCCTGACAAGTGACAAGATTTTGTAGTTTAGTGCTACCTAGGCCTATTCTTGCAGGTTCAAATACATTATTAATTTAGTTAGGAGATACAAGATAATTCCAAGAATAATTTAGGTTGTCGAGATTGTTCAAGGTAGGCCTAAGCTTAGTGCTTGCTTAGTATAAGTTAATAGATAGGAATTTTGAGTATGGTTGACATAGGCTTAATAGGTAATTTAGCCTAGGCATTTAATAGAGAATTATCATGTGCACCTAATCCTGCTCTAAGAAACACACTACTACACTTAACTTAGGCCTAATTAAGTTAGCTAGAGTGAATTGCACACTAACTTAGCCTAGGCTAGCTGAAAACTTTATACAGTACCTTATACCATCCATCGCTGACCAGTAATGACTGTGGATGGCAGTAGGTCATGAGATCCATTCATCACTTTCCTCTACAAAATATTCTTTAGTGGAATAGAGAGGCCGTGCCTTTAGTAGTTCCTCTAAAAGCGGATTATTTCTCTTGACCGAATGAAGGTTTACTAGGTAATCAAATCAATAGTTTCAATCGATATTTAGGGTAGCCCAGTTAAGCCACTGTGGTTATTATTTACTTTCCTTAACTTACTTAGCCTATAAGACCTTTCATAAACTGTTCTTAGACACCAACACTAAAACTTTCTCAAATGACCTTTTAGTTGCCGAGGCTTCCTGTAGACACCATGCCTGGTACTAGATACCACACCTGGAAAACTCGGTTAAACATCATGACAGGGGGCAGTTTCCTATACTAGACACCTCACTAAGATTACTAGACACCATTAAACTTACCTAGATTACGAGACACCATGCCCACATTACGGTTACAGTAGGTTAGGCTATACGAGGTGTCTAGTAACTTAGCGAGCTTTTACCCCCACCCAAAACCCGATATTCGCACCAGTCCCCTAGATGGTAGGGGTTATTGCTGATATGTATCCGATTGTAGGGGTCAAAGGAAGCCTCAGCAACAAAATAGTCATTTAAGAAAGTTTAAGTGTTGGTGTTTAGGAACAGTTTAAACTCGTCTTATAGAATGTTTTAAATGAGTTGAGGATAGGCTAATTGTTAACTTAGTGAATGATGCTATAAAAAAGTCGCATGTGTTAGATGGTGACAAGGTCAAAGGTTTGGACCATTCTGTTTCTAAAAGTAGGCTAACAGGCTATATCCATTGGTATTGGAAAACACTCTTAAATTAAAATTAAATAGGTAGGCTAGTTTGATGACCATACTGGTAACTATTTACAAACTCAGGCCCAAATTTGTAATTATTAGGCATAGGCAAAACCATAGACTAAGCAACACAAGTAGACTCCTCATCCCATTGTAAATTTTGAAGCTAGTTTTTTGTGTCTAGTTCATGTACGTCCACACTGATCGCTAGTGTAGACAACATTTTGTTTCTATGATTTTAGGGTTATTTTCATGATTTGTGCTTTACTATTTGGTTATATAACTAGGAGACCAGTTATTGTTTATGATTATGTCCTTTTATTAGGTTAAACGAGGTTTTAAATGACTGCAATAACAAGAAACAAATTGTAAACAAAACATAACCTCTATAGTTGGACGTACAGAACTAACAATAAAATTGGCTTCAGCTGTTCCATTAGGATGACTAATCTACTAAGGGAGTATGTTTTATCTATGGCAAAACATAGCATAGGCATAGCTTATTAGAAGGCTAATACTAACTTAACTCACAAGATCGTTAATCTAATCTTATGTTCTACATACCATAATTTAAAGTTAACATTCAGTAAGTTGTTTAAGTCTTAGAATCACATGTCGAGATGAATCTCAACACAAAAAACTTGAAAACCTAATTTTTCTCATTAGCATTAAGTTAAAACTTACCCTTATCTAGATTACCCTTAATTGAAATTGATATTGCAGATGGCGTTTTCCTGGATATTAGGTGGAAAGAAGAAAGAAGAAAAACAAGCACCGGTAATAGAGGCTGTTGAAGTGGGCTCTGATGAAGGTTATACAATTATTCAAGCCAATACTCCTCAGGTAGGTGGATTGTATCCTCAGATTCCATCTTCTGCTTACTCAACCAACCCATACACACCACTACCATACTACCCAGTGTTGCCTCAACGAGGGAATCAACAAACGGCTGACACCAATGCAAGGACTCATGTACAAAACCAACTTGATGGAATACCATTTGTGTTGAACCCAGCTTTGGAACAATCATCCAAGCAAACCCATCTAGCAGGACTTGAAGAATTGCGAAGGGCCGTGTTTCAAATTGCTGCAGATATAAATGACTCAGCGTATAGCTATGACTTTAAAACAGAATATAATATAATGCGGGAAGCGTCTGCGTATCATGAAAGTTAGATGTGAAGTAAAGTATAAAACAGATCAATAAATTGTAAATGTTATCTTTAAATATGTACTATTTGATTTATGGCTGTTAACTTTTTTTTATAAGTTAATGAGAATTGTAATTACTTGTTAAATATTTGTTCTTAGTCACAACTTCTCAATTACAAAAGTTATAAATTTATTTTTCATATAGTTATTTTTCTATTAGAAGAATCAATCACATAAAGCTAAAGATTTGCACAAGACCATACTATCATCATACCATCATACTATTTTTCAAACTTAAATTCAACAAATACATAAAATACACTCATCACAGCAAACCTGCAGACTAAGCAAATTTCCATTTATCTGGCTCGATTTATAATAAAATATTCCCTTAAAGTTGTCAGATGTATTTCCTATTTAAATAATACCTATTAATTTTAGTGATTACTTAGGTTTGCTGCTAAAGGGAATGTATTGAGGTGTGTTTTTTATAGAAATTTTGATAGATTATTATGAAATAAACAAAATTGCCAAAATTGATTAAAATAAACAAGCAAACTACAACAGTTAATAAAAAAAACATAGGTATTATAAATTTACAATTTTTTTAAATATCTGTAAACGTTTGGGCATACAACAACGCTTCAAAATACGAAATTATTTTTTTTTTAAGCTCTACAAAATTGTTTGGAAAGAAATGATGAAATGTTATGTTTGTAGGGTCAAAATGGGAAAATTAATTTTCACCCCATAAAAACCCCCGTTCCCATAGTCCGATTATGCTGGTTCGCGAACTCGTTGAAATAAATGTAAAGGTTTACATAAATTGAATCAAAATCGGATCATTTTTGCTCGAGTTATCGCGCTAACAGACACACACACACACACACATATATATTGGGCTCTGGGGACCTCAAAACGAAAAAAGTAATTCGGTCCTGGGTCTAGGTCTTATCATGAGACCTACGGTAATAGCTTATTCCCTATATAGGAAATTCGCTAAAAACAAAGACTATGAGAGTCTTGGTGCCTCAATATATTTATTGAAAACAGTACCTATTAATAATAATGGACAACCACCATTTCTAGCATGATAGGCTTCAAATGTGCTCAAAGGTTTATACATACAGTATTGTACTGTGACCAATGCCTAGCAACTATCTATGTCCGTTGGTACAAATATTTCTTTTATCTTCAATTTTGAGATGTTGAATATGCATGTGTAAATATAAATGTCACCCTATATCTTGTGTATGCATTTCAAATATAAATATGTATCTGTAAGTATATTATGTAAGTAAACATGTTACATTATAATTTATATTGTTTTAATATTTCTGTAATTAATGTATGGCCATTGCTTCATAAAAACGATGGTGCAAATACAAATTAGATAGGAGTAGCCAATCGGATTTGCAATCTTGTCACATTAAATTAATTTCACTCATGATTCATAATTTTGATGAATTGATATAGGCCTACGTCAATTAGAGTTATAAAAAATTACTTTGTTTTTTTTTTAAAGTGAAAGCCACGTAAAATTCATCATCCGTACTGGCTCTCAAGAGTAAAAGACTGTGCATGAGTTTTTTATTCAGTACTATTTACTACAACCTAAAAGAAACACTTAACAACAAGAATAAGAAGCAACACTACTTAAAACAATAGCAAAATAGATTAAAAGCCAGCCTACATAGTTTTCTAGCTTGTTTAGTTCTATAAACATCTGTGATGAAGTGTTTTAGGTGTTATCGTTTGTATGAGATAAGATTAGTAATTTATGTTGAAGAGACAGGTTGTATATTTTATGTTTTTTATTAGAACAAATGTTTAATAGAATAAAGTAATTTCCAACTTCCAAGTTTATGTTGGTCATCTGAGTGGCTCCATACGTACTACATTCAAAATAGAATAACTTAATCTCAACAGATCAGAATGCACAATTTTCTCTAGATTTGATAACTACTGAAAGTGTTAGTTTAGATCTGCACGTTCTGTTTTAATTGTCAAGGAAGTTGAAGTATCATAGTAGTGATAGATTTTTTATGTTTATTATTGCTGCAAATTATCTAAATATATGAGGTCTTGTCAAAAAGTATCTTCAATAAATTGTGGAAGTTTTGGAATGACTTCTTAATGACCATTGCACTTGTGTTAAAAACCACAACTTGCGTTTAACATTTTATTTAAATCAAAAGTGCAGTGCGGCTTTATGTAAGTTGTGTTTTCATTTGAAGCTTTCAATACAACCTGAAATAAAAGACATATTTAAATTTTAACAGTAATACTATGTAAACCTTAAGTTATTAATTTAAGTGGCCAATTATTTTAATTTAGAAATCATGACTTTGATGTTTGCTGTAGCATGTAATTTTACCTGCTAATATATTTTTGTGGATGAATGGTTGTGCAATGAATACTTTATGGTGTTAACACTTAACTAAATGTCTGTTCTATTGATTTGTAATTCCTATTGATAGCCATCCCTATATTGCGTTTTAGGTTTTCTTTATCTTAAAATAACTATATTTATTATTGCGAATTTAAAGAGAACAGTACTGCTAAGGAGCTTAGTAAAAATATGATAAACAAGATGGATTACTTCTTGTATGATTGTTGGCCTTACCAAAAAACCCCATGCATTTCTTGGTTTTTAATTTTTTCACAATTATTTCAACTTAAGATTTTTGTTCTGTTGATTTAAAGAATTCTCTTTCTTAGTAAAAAACCTTTTTTCTAAGTATTACAGAGACAGTGATTTGCAGTGTTAAAAAGTGGTCCGTTAAACATGTTTTTAAGTGGTTTCTAGCGTTCTTTTTGTAAACACACCAAATTGACTAAGAGTGAGCATTAATACTTTTCCACAAACCAGTAGCCTACATTCCAATTTACAAAAGTGAAGAAAAAGAACAATTTTTTTCATTTGGTAACAACAACAAAACTTTCACCTCCAATAAGCAAGACATTAAATACATTTGAAAGTTTTTATAATGTGATTCTTTTAATACTTTGCTTTGAAATGGCGACCATAGGTCTACGAATGTAAGTATTTTAAGCCAAGTATGAATGGAGATGAGTGTAGGATGAGTGGATCTTGTTTGTAGTCTTGTTAGTGACCAAGGCTAAAATATTCCTTTTAATTAATAGCCTTCCTGGATACACTTGTGTAACTAGGTAACTATTAAGTTAGATTAACGAGGTTCTATGTGCCTAAAATAACTACTGTTATTGTGATGTAATGTGATAAATAAATGATTATGTTTAAGCATACACCTTTTGTTAATTATTTCTGTGTGACCCCCTTATCTGCTAAGAGCCATGTCACAGCCCAAAATAAACAGTTTTTAAGAAGTTAGAAAGCAGTTTTGTACAATAGATTTAAAGAACAATGATAAACACAAATAATTAATAATCTCGAGTATCCAAATAGGTTAACCCACAGTATTTTAAACCCTTTCCCTGATCTAAGAAAATATGACAGGGTTTTCAATCTAAGAATTCCCATCACCTAATTTGACTTGGGAATTCTTCTTCTACCAATGCTAATATTGCTCCGTGGTTTGCGTGTACACTTAAACAAGGCTCCTCGCCGGTTACTGGCATAATTTTAAAACAGAATGACACCATTTGCAGCTCTGTAGCTGATGGTTACTATTCGCTGTGTGTTTTTATAATTGTTAAATCTCCCGTTGTTAGCAAGATAAAGTGAGTGTTGCGTTTTTTAATCACAAGAAACATATCCGATGCCGACATTCATCGCCAGATGACTGAAGGTTATGGCCCTAATGCAATAAAAATGGAGGTTATGAACACTTTTCCCTTGTGGTCTTCTGTGAGAAATCTGGGTACCCACCAAAAACTCAATTCCTTCGGAAATGTTAATTTTCATGGTCACTTCATGAACTCCCAAGCCAATGTCTGCACTTCTCCCTGTATAGTTGCATTAGGGTCATAAACTACAGTCTTTTGGCGATGAATGTCAGAATCGGTTATGTTACTTGTGGTAAAGAACACATCGCTCACCTTATGTCTAATACAACGGGAGATTCAATAATAAAAAAAAAAAAAAACAGCACACATTGAAATGTACTCAACAGCTACAAACGCAACAACGACATAAATATAAATTTAAACGAATGGTGTTTTTGGCCTCTGGGGACATTGAAATGAAAAAGTAAATCACTCCTGAGTGTAGGTTTTTCCGTGCCAGGTATTAGCCTCTTGTCTATAGGGAAATTCACTAAAAGACATCAAACATGCAACTTGGTATCTATAATATTAAAACGAAACAGTGTTTTTTTATTTCACGATTCTGAATCAACCACTCGACGGATTTTCATGATTTTTGTGTTGAAAGAAAGATAATTTTGAGAACTAGGGAATGTCGAAGCCATAAATTTAGTTTAGGGTCCCAGTTTTTAAGAAATTAAGTTTTAATTTTTATAAAGTCTAGCAGCCGACGCTAAGATTCTAAACTAGCTTTTGGCATAAAATAATTTGCTTAACATAACAGCTGTAAACATTCAGCTTTTGTGTCACAAATTCAGCATTTGGATAAAAATGTAAAGACATACTTAGGGTTGACTTATTTATATTATGTGTAATGCTAATCATTGATACGTTCAATTCTTCTGTAAGAGGATGACAGATTAATTAAATTATACAATTAGACCACAGTTTAAAATAGTTTAGACCAAAATAAACCACAGTACAAATCGAGGCTCTGTACATGAGTCTTAATAAAAAAGGATAAATGCAAATTATTTTACTACTCCACTTTTCAAGGAAAGAATAGAAAAATAACAATGTTTACGTGTTTTAATTCTTCATGGTAGCGTTTTGTTTACAATTAATGTTTGTCTGCTTTAACTTTGTTTGGATATGGCTCGGAAATATTGATGTCATAAAAAGAAGATCAAGAATAATCAGGAATCACGATTTTAAATTACCACCACAACCTCAGCCGGGTTTTATACAAAGATAAACAGATGGATGACATAGATTGAACACAACGTCAACATTGACCTAGGATACTGCAATTAGACAAACCATCCTTTTATGAAATCGTGTTCAGTTGTGGTTACGTTTGGGGGTGCCTATATCAGCGTCCCCAAACGTGAAAATATCACTTTTATTTCAACTATGAATATATTGTAGTTTAAATTAACTAATATGGGAAATTACGATGTACATTTATTCAATGAGGGTGGGTAATCATCAAGGATAGAACTGATAACGGTATGGATAATAAACATTGACAATTACGTCATTAGCTTTACTAGCGTGTTTACTTTTTATATTCCTGCTACATGTGACCAGTTCTTTTTTTCAAATGAATGTTATTTTAACCAAACAGCTGTTTCAAAACAAACTGTTATTGTTTTTACTTTTCTTTGTTTACACTTATTTATTTAGCAATTAATGCAGTGAAATTGATTTAAAGGATAGGTGTGACGATTAGTTTTGATTTTAGGACACCAAAGTTATGTGTACTGTGAATTTTATTGGATATTATCGTTTTATTTTAGGTCGTTTCTATTCAGACCTACTGGAAATTGTGTATAGTAGTTGTATTGTGGTGATAATAATTATGGAAGAGGCAGGTATGCTATGGAAGGCGGTATCGTTGACTAGGTCTATACACTTCTCAATTGACTATTACTCTCTCTACTGTAGGCTACTTATAATCAGTGTGCGTCTGTGCGAATCGGCTGCAAATCTCACTTCAACGCTTTTCACATCGTAAAAATTGCAGAATTGCTGTTTTATTGTAAAATTATCGGATTTAAAATGCATATTGTATAGGCCTATGATGGAATAAAAACATATTTGGTCACACAACATTTGTTTACAAGATGATTTTTCACATTAAAACTGCAAGAAACTTTGTCTTTATATGTGTAAACTAGCTGATCTGAATTGTACACGGTTTTAACTGACTACTGAATTCCCGTACGTAGGACGGGCTTACACCTCGTCATTATAAAAGAGAATGTAAAAATAAGTAAAGGAAATAATAAATTCACAATAAAAATAGTAAAATTTTTAATAAACTTATAAAAATAACAAATCTTTTAACAATGCAGCTCTTTTAGACACAGCCAGAGCATAAACTAAAGCAAACAGTTAAAACTGTCTTTAAATGTTGTTTGAACAATTATTAACTCTATAACTTTCTATCACCATTGCATATGAACTAAATTCTGCCCTTAAAGTAAAAATCTGTGACATTAGGGTTCTGGGTAGGAGAGGATGATCAAAAGAAAAATAGGGATGTGTCAGAAAAGGGTAGGGTTACAAAAAGAACTATACAAATCAGTTGTCAAGAAACAAAGTTGAAACTTGAAAAGAACTTAAACCAACAATGTCATCCCTGTGATCCACCAGAAGATAATGTGCACTTTGTTTATCTTTCGAAGTCTTAAGTCTAAAAAAAATCCCATAAATAAAAAATAAATAAACCTGTGCATAAAACTGTAATGTTATATTTGGATATTGTATACATTTTTGTAAATACAACGTTGATGTCATGGATCACACAATAAAGTAATTTGTACACAACAAAATCTGATATGACAAAGAATTAGGATACAAGTTTTTGCTGTGTGGAACACAATATACAATTTATATTCCTCAAAGACCTCATAAGTTGAGCACCTAAAACACGTATTTACTTTTTAAAGTTTTGTAGTCATTAAATTGTATGAATTTCGTTAGAACATAAAATAACAACTGAAAATTCTTTTGAAGGCAAGTCACAATTATTTCAATTCAAATGATAAATACCCGTCCGTTGCATAAAACCTGTAGACTAAGCGAATTACCATTTGCCGATTTGTTTTTCACTAAATCTATTTAAATAACATCGGTTTAAAGAGTAACAAATTTTGCTGCTACAGGTTGGGCAACAAAGTGTATTTTTAAGTAAAATATTAATGGTATACAAATAAAACAAATAAATTTGCCAGGTTTTATCAAAATATATAACTTCTTGATCAGCATTGTACGTGTTATTAAATTTACAGAAAGTAAATAAAAGAAACGTCTTATAACACTTAAAACATATATTTACGCTTATACTGTTACTCACAAGACGGTAAATATACAAAAAAGATGGTAAGTGGTGATCGATTTCGATTGAACACCCCAATCATCATCAGACCCATGTCTGATCAGACCATGATTGTCTGATGATTGAGTCTGAAATTAACAATTTTTTGAATTCTTTCTGTGACTAATAACTGTACAATAACACAATACACTAATATATTTTGAGAGTCAAAAATGGGAAAAACCAATTTTTACCTCATAAAACCCCGTTCATACATGTTTGTACTAATTTCATCAAAATCAGATGATTTTTGCTCGAAATATCATTCTAATGGACAAATGATTTGAACGGATGGTGGTTTTGATTTCTGGGGACATCCAAACAAAAAGTAAATCGATCCTAGGTCCAGGTCTTCCCATGAGACCTATCGTAATAGCTTATTGTCTATATGGGAAATTCGCTACCACGGTGTACTAGAATTTTAAGTAAAAAAAGTCCTTGAGGGTATTGACAATGAGCTACAGTAAATTAATTAACATAACAATTAACCTTACTAAAAGGTAAACTAGTAATTCTGCTAAAACAAAATTATATAAAAAAAGATCAACTTTTTCAATAGAGTATGCAATACAGTTTATGCAAGTTAAAATATCACTACAGTATTACAAAAACCTGCCTGGTCCAAACACAATAAGCCCATTTTACTTTCTTAACTTCATATCTGTTTGTCCCATTTTAAATACAATAAGGAAATTTTATTTTGGCTGTCCAATTCTTACACAGGAACACTATAGAGATTTTGAATGGGTGGGATTGGCGGGCCTTGAGTAATTACTTAATAATAGATGCTTGGTCCAAAAGATGAGGGTTAATCCTAGACTTTAATCTGTGAAAATCATTTTTCCAATTTCATTACTTTTTAAATGTTTTTTCATTATTATTTATTAATTATAAGTTTCATTAAGGCAACCAAATTCAATTAATTCTAAGATGAAAATGTATTATTTATATATCAAGAATTGTTGAAATATATATATTTTTTAATTTGATCAAAAAATATTGCTAGATTATGGAGAAATGTAGGCTATTGTTCTGTTTCTAAAAAAGGAAAATTTACTTATATTTTCATTTCATTATTATTCTTTTTAATTTATGCAAATATATATATATATCCGTTTTGGAAATATGTCCATTGTAAAATAAATCCATTTTAATGGGG